CACTTATCACCAGGCCACTAAGAATTTATTGTGATAATACTGCAAAAGTCTTTCTATCCAGAAATGACAAATATTCTAAAAGTGCTAAATACATGAAGCTCAAATATTTTGTTATTAAGGAGGAAGTTCAAAACAAGTGTCTATAGAAAATATACAGATAGAGCTCATGATTGCATATCTATTGTTAGAGGGCTAACTACCAAAGATATTTATGGACCATGTTAACAGAATGAGCCTTTGTTGTTGTCAATAACATTTATTTTTGGATTGCATTATGGTTATTTCTTTTTACATTTAAGATATTATTGATTGTGTTTCTGAGAAAAGAATAGTCTCCGATGAAGACATAATGGCCTAGATCTTTACAGTATTTCTCACTTATAGACTATTGTTTGGTGATTTGCAAGTGTTATAGTACATGGAAGGAATTATTTTGCTTTATTGACGTAAAACCGCTACGACTTGCACTCAAGGTTCTTTAACTATAATATTAGGGTAACCAAATGAAGGATTGCAATGTTGCATGCTATAAGTTTACCTTAACTATCCCAATATGTATATTATGTAAGAAATTTTCCCATATGATATGGCACATACTTAGTTATTGGGATTAGTCAAAGGCTGCAATCCTATACAGTTTTGGTAAATAAAATTCTAGATCAAATCATCTTAATTCAGTATATTTTGTAAAATCTATCTTGGTAGACATATAGTTCATGTTTCGTATAATGCATACAAAGCATGATTAGAGATTATAACCAAAACATTTTATTTTCTTTTTATTCTTTAATATTGTCAAGAACAATATCATTCTCTCATCAAACAAGCCGTTAGAGCTCTTTGCTTGCTAGACATAATTTGAAGAGAAACAAAAAACGAAAAGAGCCTCATTTTTTAAAATTATGTAAACAAGCCTTACTTTTATTTAAATCTCAACGTATCCATGAATATATTTCCTCTCTCGCCTTATCTATGTATTGCCATCTCCACGACCATATACAAGCCCCTTACCTTCTGACTGCCTATACACTACTTCCGTTTGCCTTTTTCTGGGAATCTGGACCAATTGCTTGATTCACCCTAGAACCTCTTCCGGTAAAATAGAGAATAAAAATAAGAGTATTGCGTGAAAACTTAAAAACTGGAAAAAATCACAGGTTGTGAAAGATAAAATAAAGTTCCACTATATAAAAATTATGAAAATTATATAGAATCACTCAGACAATCCAAATCCCTAAGCAAAACCAAGAAATATTCAAACCAGGTGAAACTTCAAAGGATAACCAAATCTCACAACAAGATGGTCCATGCCTACTTTAAAAACTAGGATTAAGAAGATTCAAAGGGAAGGCTTCTATTTTCAGACACCGTTAACTAGCATTATTCCAAATAGGAAACACTACATCGCTCCTATAATACACAACTAGACAAATCAAATTATAACTAGGAAACAAACACTAGATATTCAATTCCTAATTTAATTAGGATAGCACAAGTCAAATCCTAACACCTTCTACATCCTTAGCTCCTTGTTGTTAATCCCACTTGTTCGGCAAACATTTCCTCTTCCTGCCAAGTTCCATAGCCCTCACCTTGTTTCTTTAGTTGGGAGTTCCCAAATAAATCCTTCTGTCCTAAGTTGGGACCTAATGAGTTTCCTTTATTAGTTCTTACTTAGGCGCTTGTGCCCTCAAGGTCCCTAGTAAGAATCGGAAGGGAACAGGGCGTGAAGACGTTTTAACAAGGCCAATGTTGATATTTTTTTCATTTAATGCAAAATAAGATATTTTTTTATATGATTAGTTATAAAATTGCTAAACTTTAGCTTGAGCAATGTAATTACCTCCAAAGCCATCTATAACCCTATTTCTTCAAATTTTCTCCAACCTTTAATCATGAGTTATTTGTAGGTGGATCGCTATGGAATCAACTTACTTGATCGCATTTCTTAGTTCCATGCTCTCTTCTACTATGTTGCTCTTTTTATCATGGTGTTTGCAGCTGATGAAGATGACAGGAGAAAGTGTCGTTCATAACTCTACCACCGTCCCTGCTTCGCCCCAACCCCCTGTATTGGCTATTATGGTGCCTTTGCCATCGGCTCCAGCACAGCCAAGTAGTGTGATAGAAGGCCTTGATGACTCCAAAATAAAGTCCTACACAGAATTGGTAGTTGTAGGGAAAAACCAAAGCATTTCGGGACATGGCAATAAGAAGCATAGCTAAATGTGGACATTTTTTTCCATACATACTGTATTTATCAGTGGTTACGAAAGAACAGAACTTGTCCAGTTTTCAAAACCTTGCTTATGGATGTCCAAACATGACATAATTTTATTTGATATTTTTCTGATAACATAACTCTTCTGAGACTGTGTTGAATTTGAAGCTCTACTGTAATGTTAAGCAAGTTAGTAAATAATTTATATACTGATTAAAACATTTTTTAAGGGATAACTGTTAATATATTTTTGTCATTTCCTCCATCAATCCCTTCCTACAGCCGAATTATTAAATGTCAAATTTTGGAATGACAGGAGGATCGTGTAATATAGGGGTAAAGGTGTCAAAATGGGCAAGCGGCCTAAGTTTGGTGTGACTCAATGTTGGACTTGTATGGAGCCTAGATGGAACCTTCCCAAGTCCGAACCAAGGAAAGGCTGGAGTTTCCTTTCTTGCTTGTAATCTTGGTCCAACAACTTTCTTGATGTATGCTTTCCAGATCTGGCTTGGCTGCTTGATGTAATGCAATAATACATATTGTTTCATTTTTTTGTTGATGTATGAAACTATAAATACACATAACCGTGTATAGGCTAGTGTGTGGTTTTCTGAAAAATAAAATCTCTGCAACTTCGTGGATGTAGGCAATTTGCTGAACCACGTAAATCAGTCTTCCAATCGTTTATTTTTCTGTCATTCTTTCTGCGTTTAATTTTCTATCGTTTTCTGCTATTATTTTCTGGCTGTCTGGTTGTTTTATTTCCTGTCATTGGTTGCTGCTTATAACAACTGGTATTAGAGTGCTAGGTCACGAGGAAAGAAAAGCACCAGTTTCGAATCTAACCAGTTTCGGATCTGAGGAGAAAAAGATCGGGTTCTAGGTCTGATGACTGGAGAACAAGCAAAGGTACTTGGCATTGATAAGTTTGATGGCACATATTATGGTTACTGGAAGATGCAGACAGAGGACTACCTCTATGGCAAGAAACTTCATCTTCTACTACTGGGGAAGAAACCAGACAAAATGACAGATGCAGATTGGAGCCTCCTAGATCAACAGGTGTTCGGGGTTATTTAGCTGACTCTCTCAAGGCCAGTAGCGCACATCATTATCACGGAGAAGACCACTACAGATCTCATGGCGGCTTTGTTAGGTATGTATCAAAAACTGTCTGCGAATAACAATGTGCATCTGATGAAAAAAATATTCAACTTAAAGATGGTAGAAGGTGCATCTGTTGCTCAACATCTGAATGAATTTAACACCATCACAAATCAATTGTCATTTGTCAGTATTGAATTTGATGAAGAGATTCGGGCTATAATATTATTGGCATCACTACCCAATAGTTGGGAAGCCATGAGAATGGCTGTTAGTAACTCTGCTGGAAAAATGAAATTAAAATACGATGATATTCATGATTTTATTTTGGTTGATGACTGCACAGGAGGGACTCTGGTGAGATAATTGGATCAAGTTTTGCTCTGAATATAGATGCTCGTGGGAGATCACATGACAGGAATCCAAACAGAGGAAGATCGAAATCAAGGAACATATGTAAAAACAAATCAAGGCCCAAATATCAGGCAATCTGCTGGAACTGTGATAAGACAGGCCATATAAAGAAGAACTGTAGAAATCCAAAGAAGACGGATGCTGATGGCGCTAACACAGTAACTGAAGAAGTGCAAGACGCATTATTGCTTGCAGTTCACAGCTCTGTTGATGATTGGATACTGGATTCAGGGGCATTCTTCCACACCTCTTCTCATCAAGAAATCATGAGAAATTACATTGCCGGTGACTTTGGAAAGGTGTACTTAGCCGACGGATAGGCACTGAACGTTGTGGGAGTCGGAGATGTTAATATTGCACTTTCCAATAGGAACATGTGGACCTTGCACAAGGTCAGGCACATTCCCAGTTGAAGAAAAATCTAGTCTCCGTAGGACAGCTCGATGACTGAGGTCATTCAATAACATTCTCAAATAAAACCTGGAAAGTTACTAAAAGAGCATTAATATTGGCCGGAGGTAAGAAGACTGGTACTCTGTACTTAACTGATGGTTTGAGTGACACCATTGCTACCACTGATGCAGAGAGTACCGCAGAGTTATGGCATCGCAGACTGGGTAATATGAGTCAGAAAGGCATAAATGAACTCCTATCAAAAGGCAAAATACCAGAGTTAAAGTCAGTTGATCTGGACATGTGTGAGAGTTGTATTCTTGGGAAGCAAAAGAAGGTCAGTTTCTTGAAGAGTGGCAGAGCCTTAAAATTAGAAAAACTAGACCTTGTACACACAGATGTATGGGGACCCTCCCCAGTGGCGTCCCTTGGAAGTTCCTGATATTACATCACATTCATCGACAATCATAGCAGAATGGTGTGGGTCTATTTTTTGAAACATAAATATGATGTATTTGATGTGTTCAAAAGGTGGAAGGCTCTAGTTGAGAAAGAGACAAATCTAAAGCTAAAATGCCTGAGGTCCGACAACGGTGGAGAATATATTGATTGAGGATTCAAGGAGTACTGTTCAGTTCACGGTATCAGAATGGAGAAGACCATTTCTAGGACACCACAGCAAAATGGTGTCCCTGAGCGCATGAATAGAACCATCAATGAGCGTGCTAGGAGTATGAGGCTACATGCAGGGCTACCATCCACATTCTGGGCAGATACAGTTAATACTGTAGTGTACCTAATCAATCGTGGACCATCAATCCCATTGGAGTGTAGAATACCTGAGGAAGTTTGAAGCGAAAAAGAAGTTATGCTCTCTCACCTTAAAACTTTTGGTTGTGTTTCTCATGTTCTTGATGATTCTATTACTCGTAGCAAACTCGATGTAAAATCAATAAAATGTTATTTCATTGGCTATGGGGACGAGGCATTCAGTTATCGTTTTTGGGATGAGCAGAGTAGGAAAATCATTAGAAGCAAAAATGTGTTGTTCAATGAGAAAGCTAGGTACAAGGACAAGTTTGGCACAGATGCTAACACAACTCCTCAACATTTAGAATTTGTAAGTTCAGAGGACTTTCCAGAAGTCATGGTACAGCACAGGGACATGATTGATGATGAAAGTGGGACCAGTGCTTCCATCCCTATAATTCCGCAGTCAAACTCAGAACTGTCCACATCTACAACTACAATTCAGAGGTTCACTAGGACCATTCGACCCCCACAACATTTTTCGGCCACTTTGAATTATATTTTACTGACAGATGGAGGAGAATAGCAAAGTTACGAAGAAACCTTGCAAGATGAGAATTCTAACAAGTGGGATTTGGCCATGAAGGATGAGATAGATTCCCTGCTAGGAAATTAGACATGGAAGTTGATAGAACTTCTACCTCGGAAGAAGGCTTTGTAGAACAAGTGGGTGTATCATGGAAAAACTGAGCACGATGGTAACAAGAGATACAAGGCAATGTTTGTTGTAAAAGGCTTTCAACAGAAAAAGGGCATTGATTACTCCGAGATCTTCTTTCTTGTGGTGAAGATCATGACCATCAGGCTAGAATTGGCAATGGTTGTTACTGAGGACTTGCATCTTGAACAATTAGACATGAAAACAACTTCTCTTCATGGGGATCTAAAAGAAGACATTTACATGCACCAGCCTAAGGGGTTTATAGTGCAAGGCAAAGAGAATTTGGTTTGCAAACTAAGAAAAAACTTGTATGGTTTGAAACAAGCTCCCAAACAGTGGTAAAAGAAATTTGACAACTTCATGTACAGCTTAGGGTATACCAGATGTCAGGAAGATCACTGTTGCTATGTTAAGCGTTTTGACAATTCCTATATCATTTTATTATTATATGTGGATGATATGGTCGACGTAGGGTCCAGTATTGAGGAGATTAATAATTTGAAGAAGCAGTTGTCAAAACAATTTGCAATGAAGGACTTAGGAGCTGCAAAACAAATTCTTGGTATTAGAATCATCAGAAACAGAGTTAAAGGCATGTTAAAACTATCACAGGTTGAGTACTTGAGAAGGTATTTAGTAGATTCAACATGGACCAGGCCAAACCAGTTGGCACACCGCTGGGAAGTCACTTCAGACTCAGTAGGGATCAATCACCTAAAATAGAGGAATAACGTAACCACATGGATAAGGTTCCTTATGCTTCGGCTATTGGTTCTCTAATGTATGCCAAGGTCTGTACAAGACCAGATATTGCACATGCAGTGGGAGTTGTGAGTATATACATGAGCAACCTAGAAAGACAACATTAGGAAGCTGTGAAATGGATTTTGAGGTACCTGAAAGGTTTCTTAGAAAAATGTCTGTGCTTCAACGGGAGAGGTTTGGAGTTACAAGGTTTTGTTGATGATGACTTGGCTGGAGATGCTGATAGTAGAAAAAATACCACTGGTTTTGTTTACACTCTGGGTGGCACTGCCGTGTCTTGGTGTTCCAACCTACAAAAGACAGTGTCTTTGTCCACCACAGAAGCTGAGTATGTTGCAATATTAGAAGCCTCAAAAGAAATGATTTGGTTATAAAATTTCTTGGAGGAACTAGGTAAAAAGAAACAGAACGGTACACCCTACAGCGACAGTCAGAGTGCCATATTCCTTGCCAAGAATTCGGCATTTCATTCCAAAACCAAGCATATTCATATCAGGTATCATTTCATTCGGTCCTTGCTTGACGATGGCCAGTTGATATTTGAAAAGATTTGTGGAAGCAAGAACCCTGCTGACATGTTGACAAAGGGAGTCACACTTGCGAAATTGAAGTTATGCGTAACTTCAATTGGTCTTCTGGCCTGAAGACAGGGGCTACAACTGCAGAGGTGGAGAATATCTTCTTTTGGTGATACATCGGCTGATCTAGTCTCCAAGTGGGAGAATTGTTGGGCTTGTGTGGAGCCTAGATGGAACCTTCCCAAGTCCTAACCAGGGAAAGGCTGGAGTTTCCTTTCTTGCACGTAATCTCGGTCAAACACCTTTCTTGATGTATGCTTTCCAGATCTGGTTTGGCTGCTTGATGTAATGCAAGAATATATATTGATTCCTTTTTCTGCCGATGTATGAAACTATAAATACACGACCGTGTATAGGCTAGTGTGTGGTTTTATGAAAAATGAAATCTCTGCAGCTTCGTGGATGTAGGCAATTTGCTGAACCACGTAAATGAGTCTTCCAGTCGTTTATTTTTCTGCCATTCTTTCTGCAATTAATTTTCTGCTATTATTTTTTGGCTGTCTGGTTGTTTTATTTCCTGTCATTGGTTGCCGCTAATAACACTCAACTTGTTAAATTTTTTGACCGCAACTAGCGCAAGCTTGCTTCTGGCCAGTTCACAATTGGTATGTCGATTATGGCTAGGTATTGGATTTCAGCCTAGCAATGCACGAAGATTAGCCAAGTCGACACCCCTAGATGGGGGAGGTAGAGGCGAGGCATTTGATTTTGGTATGAAATTAGAGTCATTTTGATGATCTCCTCATTTGAGAAATGACGTCTATGGTTACCCATTTCCTGTTGGATGACATCATGGACAGCCTTATATAAGTAGTAGCCATTTCCAAATCGCCTTGAGAAAAAAAGGGACCTTGCTTTTCTTTCCAATTGGCATTTTGAAGCAGGCATAATAACACGAGAATGAAGAACATGACCAAAATCTCGTTGATTCTACAAATATCCAAGAATTTGGGTGGTCAGTAACTAGATGTTCTTATTCGAGGATCACTAAAGCGACATGGACTCTCCAGGTTCAGTTAACCTTCTTCAAGGCCATCTTCAAATGCTCGTGTCACATTTTTCCTTGTTGCTCAATTTTCGACAATTAGTGGAATCTTATGACAAATTGTGCTTGCGTATCAGTAGTCAATTAAGGCTGAAAGTTACCAGAATGCATTAGTCGCCTCGAACACAAATTAAGGAATCTTTCAGAAAACCATTAATATGCTATAAAATCAGATAATTGCTGCATCACACCTTATCTTTGAAAAATACTTATTTGCTGGAATCCTTTTGGGATCTTATGGAATGTCACCTTCAGAACACAAGAAACGACAACACCTACATGTTTAAAAATCTCATCAAATCATGTTATAATTTTTATCATCAAATGCCGGACGCGAAATTTTCTCAAGTGTGTGGCACTAAACAATGAACCTAAGATATTCTATGTGATATTGAATCACCTTGCCTAAAAGTTTAAATATTAAAGAAGATAAGTATATTTATTTATAGATTAATGAAGACCATATTCTTTTCTCCTTAATTGAAAGAAACCTTCGGGTTTTTGTTTCTTTATAATGAACTAGTATGAAGAAACGCGTGAGATTTCTTGTTGCTGATTTCTTACTGGTCAAGTGTCACAAACTAAAGCATTTGTCATATATCATTTGTTTTATTACCAGCTTGACTTTAGATAAATCTGAACCCTCTTTTGTTTGTAGCTTCTTGTCCTAAACCTTGTCCACAACAAATTATACTTGAACTTGGCCTGCCTTACCCGGAAAAGATGGCAATTGTGCAAGTCCTCATCTTCTCCTTTTATTTCTTCATCTTTTCCACTGTAGGTTCCAAGAAAACTTGTTCGAATTCCTTCTGTGGAAACAATTATTTCCCCATAACGTATCCTTTCAAGTTACAAGGCCAAAATCCTAAAGATTGTAATGACTATACTGATGTAAGATGCAATTCTCAGGATAATAAAACCATTTTAAATCTTCCTTTTTCTGGAGATTTTTATGTGCAAGACATTGACTACTACACACAAAAAATCTCTCTCTGTGATCCTGGAGATTGTCTCGTGAAACGTCTTATAAACCTGAACCTTTCATCGTCGCCTTTTGAGGCCATTATTTATGAAGACTACAAATTCTATAACTGTCCAATAACGAACATTCTGTATTATCGTTTTAAGCCAATTGGCTGCCTTAGCAACTCGCCAAATGCTACGGTTGTGACTGCAATAGTCACCTCTGAGGAGATGAAACTGTATTACAATTGCAGTTCAATTTTTAGCTTAGAAATCCCAGTTTCCTGGTATGGTGAATATGAGAATACGGGGATTTTAAATAATTTCAAGTTGACATGGAATGTCCCTCACTGCAAAGATTGTGATGAATATGGTCCTCAGGAAACAGGTAATTTTCGTTCTTATTTTTCAACTTTTTTCAGACATTTAAATCGAGCTTTAGTTATTTTTTTGCTCCTTTTGGTAATTAAAAGAACTTCTTTGTTGTTAATTAAGAAAGTTGAAAATAATTACAATAAGAAAAATAAGACTTGTAGAAAAATTTGAGGTTCCTTATATGAATAAATTTTTCATTCATTGCAAAATATATAACTCAGTAGTAGTCTTCATAGTACCGATCTTATTCCATCAAGCCATATGTGGGAAGACTGAATCGGACTGATATTGCGGGAACACAGCATGAGAAAGTGATGGCACGATCACTGAAGATCCTCTACAAGCAGGGGCGGAGCCAGGAATTCATGGTACGGGGGGCAAAATTTTTTAAAAATTTAATGTACGAACTACAAATAAAATTTATATATAATAAGAAAAATTCATAATATAAGTTACCTATCGTAGTTGCACCCGACGATGTTTTAAAGCATAAAATTCATCTACAATAGAATCTAGATCTAAATTCATACTAAATTCTCGCTCAATATTTAGTGTTAAACAATCAGCAAGAAAGCCATCATCCGTTTTGTTACGAATTTCCGTCTTCACATGTTTCATTACTGAAAATGCTCGCTCCACAGTCGCCGTTGAAACAGGTAGTGTGAGTACTAAACAAATCAATTTAGTCAAAACGACGTAACTCTCCAACCTTCTACTTGCAACCAATTCTCGACATAAATCAGAAAGTGTAGGTACTTGAAATCGAGGTTCGGAAATTACATCATTCTGATAATGTTGCAACTCAACTTTCAAACAATAAATATCTTGCTGTGAAAAATCTTCAGGATAAAACTTCTCTGCAAGCTTGCAAATATTATCAATGTTAAATGATTCAAAAGAATCTTTTGGATCCAAAGCTGCACTGAGAGAAAGGAGTTCTAATGATGTCTCATTAAATCTTATATCTAACTCCATCATCAGAAAATCAATGGCTGCATTGAAAATATCAAAGTGATAGTGATGTTCAACGGTAGGATACTCACGACCACGAGAACGACCAACCATATACGAAGCATCAAAGTCAAGTACATGTATATCATTTTTTGAGCAAAAACATTTCACCTCTTCAAGAAATTCTTCCCAACCATCTTCTCTCAATGTTTGACGGATAATTTTTGTAGTACGGACAAATCTCATAGCAGTCAAGATGTCTTGAGTTTTCTTCTGAAGGGTCTGACAAAGCACATCCGCAATTGCTAATATTTTACACATTAAATGTAAAATAAATACAAATTCAAATGTTGTCATGGTTTTGTACACACCACCAACTTCGGACCGAGATCTTACATTTG